CTCGGTATTAGCACCGTTCAGTTACGTATTGCTGCCTTTGCATATTACCTCTAATATCATTTATTGGAATTACACAGCTGGAATTTTTAAAAACGTTGCCAGCTTGCTTATTTACTCCAACCATGTCTGATATCTGTTGAAGAAGACCGCTAGGTCCCGTGCCATCCTTTAGTTGAGTTTCGATAATTCGTTCCAGCTCCTAAAACAAACAGAAACAAAATAGAATTAAAGATAAATATAAAGCTAGTTATTAGTGTAGTTTTTTTAAATCTGATATTCATACATCAAAAAACCATTTTTTTATAAGAAAAGAGATAAAAAATAAAAGCTGAATAATCAAATTGATTTTTTCCTAAAATGGTAAGTCAAGAGAAATTTTAAGTAATACGCCTTTTATACAGGGTGTCCGGAAATTAATGCAACAAAATTTGGTCATAGATTCTTGAAAAGAAAATAGGCGACCCCTTTTTTTATTTTTGGCCAGTGGCCCCCCTTTTCTGATTTACAGCCTCCCGAATTAAAATTTAATTAAAAATGTGACAAAATAGTTACCTTTCTATTGGTTCTATCGGACTTTTTTCGACTATATAAATAAATCTTTATTTGTAAACTTTATTACATCAAGAAATATTTTCAATCTAATAAATCATTTAATGATGTAAATAAGAGGAAATTTCTCACATTGGTAGTCAAATTTTATAGTTTTTTAATTTATATCCAAGCAATACTCAGAAGCTTATTTTCAAGCTCTTACTTAATTATGTTTGACTACATCATTAAAAGGGGTCTTCAAATACATCAATGTGATATTTGTCTAAAATTTGCAAAAGAATCTGAATCTCTGGATAACTCGAAAGTATTTACCCATTTAAAAGACTTTAGGTGATCGCTTGAAAGTGGAAAAAGGTACATTTCATTTTGACCCCACAGGCCGAGAAAAAGTATTTATATTAGGGTACGATGAGTTTTGCACTGAAGAAAAAATTCAGAGGCTGTTTGATATAATGATAACTATAGAATTTGACCACCATGTGAGAAATTTCCTCTTGTTACATCATTAAATTTATTTATTAGATTGAAAATATTTTATGCATTAAAGAGTTTACAAAAAATAAAGATTTATATAGTCGAAAAAGTCCGATAGAACCAATAGAAATGTAACTATTTGTCACATCTTTAATTAAATGCAGTAAAATAAATTAATTTTTTTATACTATAAATATCTTTTTTTTTTTTTTCCTAATCTCCTACGAGCTGATATAATATGACGAGCAATCCATTAAATTACTGTGAGATTATACAGAAAAGTCCACAGACTTCGAGACATAGGAAAATCAAGTCCATTTAGCGTGTGTCCAAATTTTGACAAGTTTCAAAAAGTCGACAGTTTTGTTTAAACTGGCGTTTAATTTCACCTGATTTCTCGGTGAATGATTTCTTTTTATGGGGGTACATAAAATCTAAAATTTACGGCCATGAAGAAATTCAAAACTTGGAGCAGCTAAGGCAGAAAATATTTAATGCCTTTGACACTGTCACCCCTGATATGTTATCCAATGTGAGGAGGGGATTTTATGATCTTTTGGTTTAATGCAAGAGGGAGGCATTTTGAACAATTTTGTAATTTTTTAAATTTCATTATCCTGTTTTTTTACCGTTTAACCATTACCTACCTTGATGAACATGGGAAAACAAAGGTCCTTTTCAGGACCACAAATAATTTGATTGAGAAAATTGGTAACTTTTTTTGGATTAAAAACAAAAGTTGTTAATATAATGCCAATTTAAAAGTGTTTTTAGTTTTTAATACAAACTATGATATAAAATTATTATTATTATAATGTACATTATTAATACTATTGTTCATTCGAAATGGCATTAAGGCCCAATTGCAACAATGATTTAAATTTTCTTAAAAGTAAATTAGAGCTTAGAATGAGCTGAATTTGACTGATACAATTTTTGAATTTGAATTGTTTTTAATGATACTAACAATTTTAGTTTATTTTTTAATAAAATTTATTTTAATATATTAATAGAAATCAAAGAGATTTGAAACCTCTTTTAGCGATTTATAACATTCTCAAATGAATTACAGGTGCATTTTCTATGAAAATCACACAGCTTTTTTCATAGTCGCCGCAGTTGCTATAGCTATAAAAACTAATTTTTTAAGGTGTGAAAATTGCGACACACGCTAAATGGACTTGATTTTTCGTATGTTTCGAAGTCTGTGGACCTTTTTGTATGCCTCGATAACATATTGGTGCAGATTATTTTCGTTTTTAAACAAATAAAAGCAAAACTATACATTGATGCGGATTGTCTATGAACTCTTTCTGAAGGTCACAGAAACCTGAACGCGTAATTCGGTGTTCTTTCGCATCTGTTATAGGTAATTTGTGCCTGAGATATTAAAAAAAAAACTCTTTTTAGGGGCGAAATTCGGGGGGCTGTAAATCCGAAAAGGGGGGTCGCTCGCCAAAAATAAAAAATACGGGTCAGCTATTTTTTTTTCAAGAATCTATGACCAAATTTTGTTGCATTAATTTCCGGACACCCTGTATATATACTGTTATTACAAAACTAGTATATTGCAGCAAGCTGACCTCTCAAGAAGACAACCCACTGTAACCGGAAGGTCTACTCTGGCCTAGTAACTTAATATATTATAAATATATTACAGGGAGCTGTTAGGCTGTGAAATTTGAATTTCACTTCCTATAAAGTCAATTACAATGTAATATTTATATGGTTTCATGGTATAGGATATGATTTACGGTGTTTAAGTTATTCTCTGACTAATATTACTAAGCTTCCTGTGGTCTGTTTTGTAGATGTCCCAGTGTGATATAAACAGGGTGGCCCGAACCGTATTCCGGAAACTTCGGCAGCGTGTTCTGCAGATAAAAATAAGCAAAAATGCTTAGTTTGGGTGATACAGGGTGTAGAAGTTTCATTTTTATTTCGATTTTTTCCAAATAATTTCTTCAATATTTCGATGAAAATTGGTGTCTGGGAGTTCTTTGACATGATAAATTATATTCTGATGTCATTGATTATTACTCCTATTTGTAAGGGGCACCAGCCACATGGAAGTTCATATAACATTCATCGATCTACAAAAAGCATATGATACAGTGCCAATAATAAGATTATGGGAAGTATTGCACGAATCAAGAATTAACGCAGCTCTGATAAAAGCTGTACAAAATCTTTACCATGGAGGAAAATCACAAATAAAAACGGTCAACGGTCTCTCTCAGAGAGAAAATTTCTATCACTAAAGGGCTCCGACAGGGTTGCTGTATATCGCCAACACTATTTAAAATTTATATTGCCAAGGCCTTATCTATGGAAAAGAAAATGTAACGGAATGGTTATAGAACTAAATGACATATGCCTATACACCTTACAATTTGCAGACGACCAGGCCATAATTGCAAGCGACAAAGATGACATGGAATATATGGTGCGGAAAATAATTGAAGGATATGCTAAATGGGGTCTAACAGCAAATACAAGAAAAAACAAAACAAAAATATTTTTTTATGGTTGTATTAAATACAGAAATCTTATTTTTTAGACAATAATATGGAAGATTACAGGTACCTGGGTTTGATATTTACTGGAGATGGAACGGACGATAAGGAAATAAACAACAGAGTAATAGAGGCACGAAGAGTTATCAGATGCAAAAATGGCATTCTATGGAGCACTGAAATTTCAAAAACGAGGAAATATAATATATACGAGACACTAGTTAAAAGCATATTACTCTATGGATGTGAAACATGGCGACTCACTGAAAGGAATAAAAGGAAATTAGAGACAACAGAAATGGACGCGATTAGAAGAGGAATGAGAATTTCACGGAGGGATAAGATCAGAAATGAAGACATTGGACAACAGATGGGAATAGAGGAACCAATAGTAAAATGATATAAGAACAAAAACAATTAATATGGTACGGCCACGTTCAGAGAATACACAATGAAAGAATTCCAATACAAGTTATTCATTGGATACCACCTGGTAAACGAAAGAGAGGACTTCCCAAGAAAACATGGATGGAAGGAATAAGAAGGTCGATGAGCGAGAAAAATTTGACCGAAGATCAATGGGAGAAAATCGCACAGGGTGGAAGTTAGGCATCGGACAACGTTGTAGGACGTTATAACCCGAATTGTATTATTGTGCAACCACATGGTTGCTTGTTTTAAAGAGAAATAACTTTTCGTCCGTACCTGTATAAAACTAAGGAGTGAAAAAATATACATTTCCGTGACTTTTTACGTTAAAAATGTCTCTTGGTAAAATCGCTACGAGGTACCGTTCTCAAGATATTTAGAATAGAAATAGTCAATACATCTCATTACTGATAAAAAAATAAACATGTTGAGAAGATAGTTATTTGACTGAAATGATCAATTTGGAAACTGGTTATTATTTTTTAAATTAATCATAAATTTTTCTTCGAAAAAATGACGATAAAACAATTTCTGATGAACTTTTGGCACAAAAACATTTCAAATTTATGATTTCAGTCTAATAACTATTTAGTCAACATTATTGTTTAATTTATGTCAATGATGACAGGTATTGATAATTTAGATTCCAAATATCTCGAGAACCATTAGTACGAGAGCTAGCAACGTCGGAAATTAGTATTTAAGATCGCCCGACTCTTTGATTTTATTATGTTTCAGAATAATATGAGGGTCTTCGTCTGGTTGTTAGGAACGTTAGTGTTTATTACTGCGCATTGGAAGAAGATCCCATATCTTTTATTAGTCGTTTAAATTTAGTATTGAATATCCAACGCAACGTAATATGACGTTAAGACAATAATCAACAAAACTACCTTGTCATATTAAAAAAATACTTTTTATTTTTATTTCATTTATTCTACAGCAAAGTACAAATACTTCGTTTTGTACCACCAGAATTATTTAACAACAATTTTACCATCCGAATATAAACGAAAATAAAATAAAAGTCTTTGACCTGACCCGGATTTGAACTCTGAATCTTCGGCTCGTGGTCGGAAACTCTACGCTCTGCGCTATGGAGACATGATGGATTTATATTCAATACCAGAATTTATAGGACTAAATTAATAAAAAAATATACGATCTTCTTCCGATGCGCAGTAGTAAACGCAACGGGTATCGGCAGCCAGACGGGCCGCATGCTGTTCCAGAGAGCATAGTAAGAGATATATCAAAGAGCCAGACGTCTTAAAATACTTTCTCGAAAACGTTGCTAGCTCTTAGACTACATTACTCGTAGCGATTTTTACCAAGATACCTTTTTTACGTAAAAAAAAATTTGTAATAGTTTTATACAGGTACGGACGAAAAGTTATTAGCTTCAAACCAGTGAAAAAATATGTAGGTGCCGCTCTCTACAAGTAGGAGTTATATTGACATCAAAATCAAATTTCTCATGTCAAAAAACTCATAGACACCAATTTTCATCCAAATATTGACGTTACTTTAAAAATTATTTGGAAAAACTCGAAATAAAAATGAAACTTCTACACCCTGTATCTCCGAAACTAAGCATTTTAGGACATACATTTATACGAACTTTTTTTACTTATTTTTATCTGCAGAATATGCTGACGAAGTTTTCGGAATACAGTTCGGACCACCCTGTATAACAAAGATGATCATCTCGGTGATCATCCATCATTACACTGCATACATATCTGATCTCTCTCTATTTCACAAAACAAATAGACTCTCAAAAAACCTGAAGTTTTAGTTCTTGAGACTATAGGTCTTACAATTAGTTAAAATGCAACTGCAAATGCAATGGGCTTAGCAAATCAAAATTACCTCTCTGAATAGTTTGCTGTTCATGATCATTTCAACTCGTTTGCGCCTCTCCATTTCCCGCACGTCGGCGTCGATGTCAGCCGGGCGCATGCGTGCCTTTTCATCATCGTCCAGACCGCCGTTGTTCGTTATGCCGTTCGTCTGCGGCGGCAACTCGTCCGCCGTACTCGAATCTGTCATTGCTGCGCAATGGATTTAGCCAATCTGAAACAGAAAGAAGCACATTAATTGACAGTCTAAACAGCGGTATATGACTATATAACACTAGAAACAAGCGAATGACTCTGGGAGTTGCACTGTCGAAGGACCAGTTGTTGAAATAATATTCAACAATGCTAGTTTTACACTTTCCGCTGTCGATATGCGGATGGCGTCTTTCGACGCATCATGCGTACTCTCGACGCGTAAAAGCGCACTCTGTCAAGAACCATGTTTCAGTCTCTTAAATAATGTCTCTGACTTCCCAATTAGGGTTCAGAACCGGGAAATCCCGGTTCTTTTGAGACATCAAAGAACCGGGACTCGAATTATTAATTCCCGGTTCTTTCTGTACTCGGTAATAATGTTGTGGTCCTCTTCAGAAGGGCCAACTTGTCGAGGGTCTTTTCGGGTGTGGAATTAATGTACACTGTTGTTTTTTAATATAACTTAACTTTAATTATGATAAAACTAATTACAATAGTTACCCTGAGGGAAACTGTGAGAAATAATAACGTGTTGAAGAGTAAAAAGAGAGTTGAAGAGGAAAAGCAAAAGAGTGTTCAGCAAAAAGAAGTATAAAATCGAAACAGGGTTTTAGCAAAAGAGATCTGAGGGCCTGTCTTGCAGTTCCTAAACAGAACGCTTGTCAGAGCACACCTATATCCTAATTCAACGCATAGTGATACCGCCCTAAATACCAGGATAGACGTTCATGAAAGCTATATAAATTTATGATCAAAATTCCCAAAAGTAATAGTTAAAGTTATCAATTAGAATTATATTGTAGGGTCGTTTATGACCTCAAAGGTATGAAGGTTTTTATTAGAGATGGGACATTCCTAAACTAATATTACAAATTTGATTAAAATGAGGACGGGATTATAACACACTTCCCAAAGCGGAATTCCCGGTGCTTTCAGTACTTTCGGGACTCGGTAATAATAATTAAAAACATATTTTTTGTTACGTGCGAATGACTTTTGATGCTCTCTAGCGGTCGAAATCAAACTCTTCTAAATAAGTAGTAATGCTATCTCTTACTGTTCTTACATCTGAAGTTATTTTGTGTTTCTTATTATTGATTATTAATTCAATCAATTAAAACATCAGAATTAAAGCATCAGAATTAATAAATGTAAAGATAGTATGAACAGAGTCAACGGTCCAATTCCTTCAAGTTCTTTGTTCCTACTACTCTAGTGGCGGAAATCTAACTGTTACGCTCAGTTGACTCTGACTCGGTTGGCTAGATTTTGCCACGCCCACTCGGTGCCAACTGAGCGAGTATATAAACGCTCAACTTGTAGATTGTACTTTAGTTTATAATCATCTGCTGATGATGCTAACATGGTTAGCGAAACGCGCGTCCGGTGTAAAAGTAAAAGTGTTTTGGTGTATTGTGGTGATTTAGTGTTTTTATTTTAATAAGACTAGATTAATTTAAAATAAATTTGATGCCTTTAAAAGGTTTTTATTGGGGACACTCCTAAATTAATATTACAAATTTAATTAAAATGAGGACGGGATTTTACCTATAGGGGCCAAAATACATCTTTATAGATATTATAGTTGTACTAGATTAAATTCAATACAAATTCTCACGTGTTGAAGATCGGAGGTTAAATTTAATCTAAATTTATCAGTGACTAGACACCGTGTGTCTCGAATAATAGTATGACGTGTTGAGTCAATTAGAACACCAAATGTTTATTAGTTCTTAATATAATTAACAAAATACCTTAAGCCATGCTACACCAATATTAAAACATACATACATATTTTATTAATACAAACATAATAATACACAGTGGTGGCCAAAAGTATGGTAACTTTTTACTTTTTAAAATATCACAGAAAATATTGCTATGCTTAAACTCTCAGGAATATAAATGAACAGCTTATCAGCAAATAAAAGTATTCCAAAAATTACACAGCGAAAAAAATCTGTTTAGCAGTTTTTGTAGGAGAACAACAGATTTCTTGTGGCCAAAAGCGGAAACATAAATACATTAAAATTATTTAGTTTAAGCTGATAAACGGTACGATTTGCTTCAGATAAATATAAACATCATACCCAAGTCTAAATATTTCTCTACGGATTTAAAAAAATAAAATAGTTGAATTATACAAGAGCGGTTATAAACAATTCAGCCAAGTAAAATTTAAACATTTTAAAAGGCACCGTTTCAAAAAAATAATTCGTAAAATTTAATATAACAGGGAACGTTTCAACAGCTTTTAAGCCAGGAAGACCAAGAAAGTTGCGCAACAGGACAATGAAAGTAACGAAGAGAATATCAATGGGAGATCCAAGAAAAACATCCACAGACATTACTCGAGAAATGGGTGAAAGGAGAATATCGGTGTCTGCACGCACGGTGAGCAGAAGGTTGGATGACATAGGACTTTTTGGAAGAGTTGTGGTGAAGAAACCACTAATATCAAAGAAAATAGGATGGCCCGCTTTAAATTTGCTCAAGATCAACTCACCTGGTCTTATCAGAAATGGAATACTGCACTGTTTAGCGACGAAAGCAAGTTTCAACTGTTTGGTAGTGACGGGAGACGTGTTATGTCCGAAGACCAAAAGGTACACGGTACAGCCATAAGTACCAGATGCCCACAGCAAAACATGGGGTGGAGTATAATGGTATGGGGGTGTTTTTTTCGCTCAGGTGTTGGTCCTCTTGTTAAAATTTATGGGATAATGGACCGTTTTTTGTACAAAGACATATTGGAGAATAATATGCTGCCACATGCTGATGAAGAAATGCCACTAAGATGGTTGTTCCAGCAAGACAATGACCCCAAGCACAAATCTCGGTTTGTTCAAAATTGGTTAAATGAACATAATGTTCCACTAATGGATTTGCCCTCACAGTCTCCGGATCTTAACCCCATAGAAAAATTATGGGACCATTTGGATAGCAAAATTCGAAGCCATTCCCATTTCAAATAAAAATTAATTATGGGAAGTGCTAAAAACTGAATGGGCGGCCATTTGCAGTAAAGATTGTACGAGATTGATTCGATGCCACGAAGATGTAGAGAAGTAATTAATACAAAGGGATATTCCATCAAATATTAGTAATTTTTATATTATCTTGAATTTTAATAAACATTCTTCTTAAGTTTCCATACTTTTGACCAAGAAAATATTCATAATTTTTATATATTTTTGATACGTAATTTTTATTTGTCGTATTAGGTTTTGTAGGAAATTATTTGTTGGTCACGATTATATAAGTCGTTTTATTTCATATTTTAATTTCTCGGCATAAATGACAAATTAAAAAAGTTTCCATACTTTTGGCCACCACTGTAGGTATAATTTCAAAATTTCAAAACATGAAATAATTTAATCAACTTTGACACTTACTGGTAGGTAAAAATATAAATAAATAATTAGAAAAGGAGAATAAGGATAAAACAAAATTCAAACACTTTTATGAACACTAAAAATATTTTAATAGAAAGTTTATTTTTTGAACATGTTAATAAAATTAAAAAAGTTAAAAATAATCTAAATTTACTAAATTAAAAAACAAATAAAAATATTATAATTAGTTTCGATAGAGTGCATAGTTAAAAATAGATTTGGTGTGAGGTTGAGACCTTAACCCCTATAATTCAAAACAAAATCGAAATTCAAAGCCAGTATTTATAAACACCATGGACTTTTAAATCTGATTTAAAAGAGTGCCAGAGCGCCGACGACGTTGCCGGATCTGTCTATTTGAATTTCAAATCGTTTTCAGTCTCGTTTTCAGCTCGAGTAAACTACATTATTAAACATTTATGCAGGTGTTAAATAAAATTCAGATCATGTCAATTTAAATCAATTTTGTTAAGTATTTTATAATAGTATATACCGGGTGTTTTAAAACCGACTTTTACCCTTGGGATCTCATAACGCTAATAAATTGCAGTTGGGGGGTTGAAACCTTTGGTGTTGCCCTGTATTTCAGGAACTAGGAGGGTTAGAACAAATCTGTGTGTAGCATCTTAGGTTCATAAGAAAGCAGCACAGTGATGCGAAAACCGCATCTTTGTAGCCCTACTTATAAACGAGAACCCCAAACAAACGAAAATGGGATAACCTGTTGGTAAATGTTGAAATCATACGGTAATCCTGTTATTAGTAAAGATAGGAGGATGTGGTTTGCACAAACCTGGCCCATTTTTTTGTCAAACGAAAGATGCTGTAAACAAAATTTTCATAGCCCTCTTTGTTTCTGAGCTACAGGGTCTTTTCGAAAATTTTGCAATTTGGGACAGTCCCTGTATCTCCGTTATTGTGGATGATATCGAGAAGGTGAAAACTGGTTCTTGTAGAACTTTTTACCTAGAATACATTGGCATAGCCTGTATTTTTACGAAAAAAATATTTTTGAAAATAATGAACCAAAGTAATGTTTTTTTTTCTAATGGAACATCCTGTATATTTATAAATCATATGATCCATCTTGCTCTGAGCTTCTCGAAAATATATTTATCACTCTATATTTATTTTCACTATTTACTGCAATATTCAAGTTATATCATTTTTTTATTAGTAGGCCGTGATAAATAACAAAAAAATCAAAATGTTATTTACTAAAATATTCATACACATATTAATAATTTTATTTGGGATTGATATTTTACTTTTTTTTATAACGGAATTTATTATAATGGAATGGGTTTGCAAATATCTAAGTGTTTGCATTATTAAAATTTTCCACATTGTTGTAATTGTAGGATATATTTCATATTTCAAAAATTCCAAAATCAAAAATCGAAAACGGATAAATCCGGGAATCAGGAAGTTGGATCATTGGGTCCATTGGTTCCATTCACTGATTTGAGAAATAATAAATTTAACAAAATTCTAATATTTTCAATGTTGTGAGGGGGAGTCCCATCTTGCTAAAATATATTTCACGTAAATTAGCTAAAGGAATATCTAAAAGTTCCGATACGATAGTTTCCAAGATTTACAAATAGCGGTAGAGAGTTAAAGT